GTTTTGTGTGTTTGATTTTTGGAATAATTGTGTAAGCTTTAAGATGACAGCAGGGAAGTCTGTCTTTGACATACCATAGGCTACTCTACATCACAGCATCCTTCACAGGCCATAATAAATGAGTGAGTATATATATATCAAACTATAATCTCTGAGGTCATGGCAGGAACTGTTTCTCTTTGGTGACTCATCTGATGTCAAATGGTACTGATGATGACGATGATGCTAATCACAGCTGATTTTAGCCAAAACAACTTTCTCAAATAAATGTTCACCTTAGTAGTGGCATGCTTTGCACAGATAGTACTTGATGCCTCATATCAAACTCTGCAGTGATTTCATGCACAAACATGTTGGTCAGTATTTGTTATGTCTGTTGTTTTTTGGCATTGTGTTCCAGATAAATAATCTGCTTTGTTAAGATTCCTTAAAGCAACATTTACTTTGCCTGTTTTAGCAGTTCCATATTACTAACAAAATTCAAAACGTACTTGTTTAACATTGTCTCAGTTGGTTTCTGTCCTGCAAAAGCTGCCTGTTGGCCAAATAAACCAACTAGAAATGTTATTTTCAACTCATCCAATTAAGCTTCCGACTATAATGATGCTCGACTTTGACCTTTTCTATCAGAGCAAGTGCATCCTCACAAATTAGACACACTGGCTTGTCTTTTATGTTAACAGGAAATAACTTTAACAAGTATTTGTCCAATTCTCTTGTAAATAGAAAAATATCTACTTTTCTTTTCTTGACAGTCACCATGTTGCTTGTCAGCAATGGTTTAAAACAACTACCTGTGTGTTTTCTTCACCCTGACTGTGACCTGACAGGCAGACAGCTAGAACAGACCACCCTGAAGGACATGTTGATCTACTGTTTTTATGTTATTTTATGTTATTTTAGAAATACAAAAAAATCTCCCGGATTTTTTTTCTTTCTCTGCTACTGTAATGTTGACAGCACTCATATTTTACCCCTCCTGCATGCAGTCAGTAGGTTCAGCAGACACTTCATGTACCAGTGCGCGATCCCACAGTGACTGATTACATCATTACTATCTGCCATCGCTTTCGAATTCCTCACTGTCTCCAAAAAGTCCTTTCCACCCTAAGCTATTGGAAAGCAGAGGTGACTCCGGCCTCATTCACCATCAGAAACTGTCTTCCACCACCATCATTGTATCTGTTACCTCTGGGATCACAACAGAGCAGGAAAATTATAATGCTAGTAATTACTGACTCAAAGTTTTTATCGAGTCTTTTTCAAAACAAAATCCTCCTTATGCTAAGGCTAAATCAACACCAGTGACTTGCCTGAATCAAGATAATTGATATTTTTGTCTTGCTGGGTGAAGCTGTTGACTCTCGAAAA